GCACCAATCAGATCAACTAACTGCTCAGCAGACATGCCCCACAGAGCGGAGCCGTAGCGCTGAACCAGAGGAAGCCAGTCAAGAGCAGGACCGCCAACCCCGTAGGCCAACCGGACCGTGTCAGTGAGCTGAGCAAAGCACTGACCAGGGGGGTGAAAGCGGCCACAAGGGTGGCCCCGACGAGGACCTGTCAGAACCTGATAGGTGCAGGGAGGGTAAGAAGCACCGCGCTGGGGCTGACGCAGCCCCGACCCCGGAGCCAGCTGCTGACGCTGCTGCTGCTGAGGCTGGCGGGAGGAAAGGGGCTGCTGCTGCTGCTGAAGGTGCTGCTAACGCTGAGCCTGGTACCACGCCGCTGCTCCACCTAGCGGGGTCGGCAGTACAGGAGGCGACTGACGAGCTCGGGGGTCGCCGCCACCAGCAGGTGCAGTGGAGTCACCAGCCGCTGCACGAGGGGTCTTTCCAGACGCTGCACTCCCACCACCGCCAGTCGCAACAGCACCCCCACTACCTCCGCTACCTCCACCTCCACCTCCACCAGAACTACCTTTCTTGCCCCCCTTGCCGCGGGACCGCGACGCAGTCGTAACAGCAGCCGCAGTCGCGTCAGTAGCGGCAGTGGCGAGAGAGGCAGTGAAGGTGGGTAACTGCGGGACTGTGCATCCGTGGAAGAGTGGGGGGGACACAGTACCAGAGGCGGCAGCTACCGAGCGAAGGTTGCTCTCGACGTCCTTGAGTGCAGACTCAAGGACCTCGATAGTCAGCTCACTAGGGTGCTTCAGCAGAAGCGCGTCACGAACGGAGGCTAGGCGGTCAGGGAGGCTAGTGGCGATGAAATAGACAGTAATCGACATGGGGGGAGGAAGCAGTGCAAGCTGTGCCTCAGTGCAAGCAGCGCGGTAACTAGCGTCGAGCGAGCGGAGGTGAGCGATCAAGTCAGCAGAGCGCTCAAACGAGGCGAGATCAGGAAACAGGAACGGGAGGAAAAGACGGCCAAGAGAGACAGTAGCGGGAGTAGAGTAGCGGGCCTTAATCGCAGTGAGGTACGCAGCAGCGGTGCGAACCTGAGTAAAGTGGACCTCCTCTGACTCAGGGAGGAGGCTGCTGAGTGCGATGCAGGCCGCAGCGTCACGCGACGTCCAAGCCGTCCGGTCAGCGCGCTGACGGGCAAAGCGAGCCGTAGCAGCGTCGTCAGGGGCAGAGCCTAAAGCTGTAGGCTCGGGGGGCTCGGGGAGGTCACCAGTAGCGTGCGACCAGAGGGTCTCGCCCCCCTGGACCTGACTCTCTAACAGACAGCGAGCGCGAAGAAGCCAGACGGAAAAGTCAAGTGGTCTACCGTCAGCGTCGAAACGAAGAACTCGCGGAGTCGCCATAGTGAGAACTAACGCGAACGAACAGGCGAGTAACAACCGGGGAGAAGAGGCAAATTAGGGTTCAGGTGGGAAGGGGACTCAGTCGCAGCGGAAGAGCGGGCTAGGGCGACGGGCCAGGGCGTAGGGTAGGGCGACGGGCTAGGGCGTAGGGTAGGGCGACGGGCCAGGGCGTAGGGTAGGGCGACGGGCCAGGGCGTAGGGTAGGGCGACGGGCCAGGGCGTAGGGTAGGGCGACGGGCCAGGGCGTAGGGACGGGACAGGGCGACGCGACGGGGCAGGGCGGCGCGATGGGGCAGGGTGACGGGACGGGGCAGGGCGACGCGACGGGGCAGGTCGACGCGACGGGGCAGGGTGACGGGACGGGGCAGGGCGACGCGACGGGGCAGGGCGACGGGACGGGGCAGGGCGACGCAACGGGACAGGGCGACGGGACGGGGGGGAAAGGGCGGGCACGACGTGACGGGGGGAACGGGCGCGACGCGACGGGGGGAAAGAGCGCTAGGCGACGGGGGGAAAGGGCGCGACGCGACGGGGGGGGGGGGGGGGGGGGGGGGGGGAAGGGCGCTAGGCGACGGGGAGAAAGGGCGCTAAGCGACGGGGGATGAGGGCGCTAGGCTCAGTACTAGGCGCGGGTAACAACGGAACCGGTACGAACGAGAGGTAGGATCAGGCTCGGGAGGGACGAACGGAGAACGGAGGAACAGGATCCCACAGGATCCTAACCTAGCTGATACCATGTCAAAATGAGGAATGATGATGCCATTGATGTTGGTTGGGATACATATAACAAACCCTAACTTCTGTACCCCCTAAGACAAACCTCACTACAGGCTACAACATTTGACAAAAACTCTTGCTGCTGCCAGCGCGCCCAGCACAGAAAAGTGCCGAGCGATTCCGGGCCTGCTGCCAGGTCAGCTGATTGTGAGCTTGCCACACTTGGCACTTGCACGAGGCCATTGTCTGATGCCCACACCTCGACCCTGACCGCTCAGTGTTCCGAACTCTTGAAAAATGACCAATCAGAGTGCCCCATTTCTGGCCGCACAATTGCTTTGGTATGCTGTAATGAGCTTCAATGCCATTATAGCTATGTTGTTATGAAACTGCATGAACATCTTAAAATTTGAAGTAACTCTGACAGTTCAGACAGAAAAAGTTGTGCTTGTCTGAATTTTCCGACTAAAAAATAAGTAACTCTGACAGCCAGACTAGGAAGAGGGGTGTACTCTGAGGCGTCAGACTACCTCAAAACGAATCTAGGGGCAGTTCCTCGTGTTCGCAACTAACAGCCTCCCAAACTTTTGCCGACCCTCTCGCCAAGCCTGTACGTTTTCGTTGGGGTTTGCTTTTGGTGGGTGCTGTTCCTAATCCAACAGTACTTTCAAATGAATACTGCTGCTTCAAAACAGTAATTTCCGAGTCACGCTAAGGTTTCGTAGGATACCTGGTTTCGCAGTGCAGTTCATCACCTTATCCGGTTTCGGTAACCAGGTTATATGAACCTCGGTACGATCGCAAACCTCGCAGATTCTTCGTGCGTGCGCAGAACACACGATCGCATAAACGTTAACATAAAATCCGAATGCAAGGTCGACTTTAGTTCAGTGTCCAACTTCTTTCAGACAGTTTGAACTAGGACACACGATGTCCTGGCGAGGTGTCCGGCGATATTCGCGAACAAAGTTACCAGCAGAAGTTCAACCATTTTTCCGAACTCTACAGCAAAAGACACGCGCCCTAAATATATCCGAAGTTCAACTACCTGCGAGGGCCAAACACATAAGAGTAAGCACAAGGAACAATTGGAAGCTCAAACGCCCTAGTGCAAAGAAACGGGATGGTAAATAGACGGCCACCCTTCAGTTTAGCACACCTGATGCCAAAGCATCAGGGGCATTAGAGACATTCGACACGGCATCAATTCCGTCCGCCCGTCTCAGGGTAACATCCTCAGGGGGCCAGCAGGAGCGACTCAAGAAAACACTACGTATGCGTGCTCAAGGGCGTAAGAAGTCACACGTACAGGTAATCTTCAAAGGAAACAGCCGGCCATGCAATCTTGTCAGGCGTCTTCAACGCAGGACCGTAGGATCGGCATCCAGCATAAGTGAAACGCAGACTTTCAAGCGGACGCATGTGACCGATCGTTTCACATCAGAAGCACAGGCGGGTCGTCATGCCAAAAGTCAGCAGACGGGAAGATGTCGGATCCGTAAGAATTCCAGCACCTGCCAATGCACAGGAAAAGGGGTAACAAGTCAGCAACAATCCCAAGACGCCAAGTACGAAAAGTAGGGATAATCTCAACGAAAAATGTGTGCAAGTTCATTTGACGGAAGGGCAACAGAGTGCCTCCACCGCTGGTAAGACAGCACGTAGCCAGAAGGCACGATGATCTGGCATCGGTGTGTGGTGACTTGGCCACAATCACCGCACTCCAACTACCTCTACCCCTCCGAAAAGAGGGAGGTGAGCGGAGAGCGGCGCTGACATAGTCACCGATTGTCCGATGCGTGCGAAAAAAGAAAAAAATGAATGTGCAATGCCAATGAGAGCGAAAGAGTTATATGTTATTAATGCAGGACAAAGGCCACGAAATAAGTGTAGAAATGAGATGGGGCGAAGAGACGGACCTTTTAAGGCCCTTTCAGCCAATGGGGATGGCTGACTTCTCGACTCGCCACAACTTCGACATTGCCGAGTCTGATTTTGGGCAGCCTCAGAGGAGCGCTTTGAAGCTTAGGACCGACTCCTTGACTCGCCGAGACGTTCAGCGTGGTACAGACTACTTTTTGCGCCGCCTCAAAGGAATGATGAAAGCCCATGTCTAAATAGTTGAACCGCCGTGGCGTTCTGCATTGTTACATGTCACGGTCGAGTTGCGAGTTGACACAGAAGCCGCAATTTACCTGCTCGAACTCGCAAATAGGAGATGCAAATGTAGTGGCCATGATATACGTCAGCAGAAACCTGCCCATCTGGCGAGAACCACAAGAGTGTGCAGAGCAGAAGTGAACATGAAGCAATACGTCAGACAATAAATTGGTCTTGAAATTTGAGGGGGTGAGATGAGAGAAGTCTCGAGTGAGCTGCTCCGCGTGTGGGGCTTAGGCGGGCGAGAGATCGAAACCCAAAAGCCTCGCCAATTTTGATGTGCGCAGATCTGTGCCGTCTATTTCTCTCCATCGACGGCCAACAAGCCCCAGGCATTGCAAAAGTCTCACATGGCGGAGTAGTTCCGCGCTCTGCGACAGCTTGCGGCTGGTGGTTTCCGCGTGGCAGGAACGCCTGGCTTGGAATGGGAGGAGGAGATCACGCAACGACGAAAAGACTCAAGCCCAGGCGGGTTAATGTTACCACGGTATGCGAAGCCGCATAACAAGAACCTGACTGGAAGAATTACTAAGTGGTTACGCTAACAGGATTCAAATTTCACTAACATTCATTTAGTGCCCTGCACTGCACACCTTCCTAGCCCTGTAAGTTGTCACCTCCCAGTCCAGGGTGCTTTTGTGAAGAAAACTCGTCATATTTCGAAGAAAACCCATCATATTACATTGTAGATTGGATTGAGATATATGCTTCTTGACCTTTGCAAACAACGAATTGTTATGATACATCGCACTAGGTTTTCCTGTTCAACGCATCAGCAACTAGCATTCGGACACTCCTGTTGCTGAGTGCTGCATTCCTAGCGCTCTCTGCATCACCAAAGCACCCAGCTGCCAGCAGAATAGCAGTGGGTACTATTCTTTCCATCTTCGCCCCAACCCTCACCATCTCCTCAACCTTCCTTCCCATGCTAACCCCCTCATCATCCCCTACCTCCCCCTTCACCCTCCCCGCCCTCTCCTCCATCCCCTCCCTCCCCTCCATCCCTTCTTCTCTTTCAGCAATAACTATCGCCCTCCTCACACACCTCTCCGCCTCCTCTGCCCCAACCCCTGCCAGCTCCCCCACCACTCTCACCGCTCTCTTAAAGAGCTTCTCGTTACTCACTCTAAGGTCCACCATGCGGTTACTGTACACTTTGCCTAAAAGCACATGCGCCCCGCTACTAGCAACGTTGAGGGCCAGTTTCACTGCTAGTTGTGCAAAGAGGTCGGTACGGGGTAGGAGAGGAGCGGCAGAGGGAGCAGGAAGGGAGATAGTGACATGGAGGAAGGTGGGAGTGAGGGGTTGTGAGGAAGGAGAGGAGAAATAGGAGGACATAGATGAGGAGGAGGAGGTGGAGGAGGAGGAGGATAGAGAGGAGGGGAAGGAGGAAAAAGGAAGGTCTGAAAAGAGGGAAGCTGCAGATGCCATGGGCTCTGTTCGCCGCTTCCTGATTGGTGCTGCACCTGTTGCTGCTTCACCCTCTGTATCAACTCCTGTTACAGCTACTGATGCTGCTACAGCTTCAGCCTCTGCTCTAATCACTGCTGCTGCACCTTCTGCTGCTGCTGTTTCACCACCAAGGGGCTTCTGAGTAGACTCAGAAGCTTGACCCGTGGCGCTACTACTGTGAAGCACATGCTCGGTTTCATCCCCATCCACCGACTCCCACTCACTCCCCTCCTCACTGTCCTCCTCAATCCCCTCGTCAGATGCACCGTCTGCCTTCTCCTTAGCTACAGCCAATCGCTCCTCTTGTAACTCCCTCCCTACCAGCACCCCAGAATCGCTACTTCCCCCTTCCTCCTCTTCGTCCTCCTCCCCTCCCTCCTCCCCTCCCTCCCCCACTCCCTCCTCCCCTTCCTCCCCCTGCCCTCCTGCTCCACTCTCCCCTTGATCACCCCCCTCCTCCTCTCCCTCCTCATCCTCCTCCCTCCCCTCCTCCTCCCCCTCCTCCTCACTCCCTTCCACTTCACTCTCCTCCCCTTCCTCCTCTTCCTCCCGCTCCTTCCCCTCCTCCACCCCATCCTCATCATCATACACCATTAAGAGCCGGTCGTGAGGAGCCACACCGACACTAAGCAAAGCGAGGGACAGCAGTCCCTGCTTGGCTCGTGTGTGGAGGGCGGTGAGGAGCGGTAGAGGGAACAGCTGTGGCTGTAGCACGTGTGACTCTAACAGGAGAATTGTGTCGTTGGCACTGGGGGTTTGCAAACAACAGGCAGGGAAGCAAGGGAGGGAAAAAAAGGAGGAAAGGAACGAATGGTGAGTGTGAGTTTAGAGGAGCTTGGACGTGGAGCAATGAGCCACACCAATACTTAGCAAAGCGAGGCACATCAGTCCCTGCTTGGGCCGTGTGTGGAGGGCGGTGAGGAGAGGGAACAGCTGTGGCTGTAGCACGTGTGACTCTAACAGGAGAACCGTGTCGTTGGCACTGGAAGCAGCAAGCAAGGGAGGAAGAGGAAAAGAAGGGAGGAAACAAACGAAAGGTGGGTGAGCAGCGGGGGGAAGAGGGAAATGCTGTAGAAAATCGTGAGGTGCCACACCGACACTTAGCAAAGCAAGGGACAGCAGCCCCTGCTTGGCTCGTGTGTGGAGGGCGGTGGGCAGCGGGAGAGGGAGCAGCTGTGGCTGTAGAACATGTGATTCTAACAGGAGTACAGTGTCGTTGGCACTGGAAGATATGGAAACAGCAGGGGTGGTTGGGAAAGAGGACGGGAAGGAAGGGAGGAGTAAGAAAGAGGAAAGGAACAAAATATGAGTGCGAGAATAGCGGAGCGGGGACGAGCGGCAGGGAAGCCACACCAACACTTAGCAAAGCAAGGGACAGCAGTCCCTGAGCAGGAAAGAAGGAAAGGGGAGTTGTGAGAGGGAGAAGAAAAAGCTGTGGCTGTAGCATGTGGGCAGGAAGAGGTTGAGATAACCTCCTTCAGAAAGCATGGACTTCAATGCTGATTGACTTTTACACTTCTGGCGTGGATTTGAGACATCTCAAAAATTAGAAAAAAAACACTCTTCTTTAAGCTCCTTCAGAAAGCATAGGCCTTCAATGCTGATTGACTTCTTCACTTCTGGCTTTTTTGTGTTTGTATATATATATATGTATATATATATTTTTTTAGAATTCACTCTTTTTTCCATTTTTTTTTTTTTTCAATATGGACTTCAACGCTGATTGACTTTTACACTTCTGGCGTGGATTGGTGAGAGGGACGAGTGAGCGAGAGGTTGCTGCACTGCATGCGGGTTGCTGTGCCGTGTGGTTGGAAGAACCCTGCCAAGAAAGTATTTGTGCTAGTTGATGGTCACTAGATGCGGTGAACTTAAAAACCCCAAATAAGAAACGCTCACCGTGCGTTGGACACAGTAATTCGATGAACTGAATATGGAACCCTGACCAGAAATTTCAACCAGAAACACTGACCATATGGTGAAAAGAACCGTGTCAAGAAAGTGGTCTGGGTGCGGATGGCTCTGGCGTGCATTGGTGAGACAGTGAGTTGGACAGAGGGTCCAGGTGCGGTACGTACCACAGAGCATACTCGGCAAAGATAGCAGGCAGCTTACTGCTAGCTCACCGTGTGGTGTAGTTTTGAGACGTCTCAAAACTAGACGTCTCAAAACTAGACGTCTCAAAACTAAGCGTGTCAATACTCGGCAGGGATAGCAGGCAACTTACTGCAAGCAAGCTCACCGTGTGGTGGGGAGGACTTGGTCGAGAAAGTAGTCTGTGCTAATTGCCTTGAGTGGCTCTGGCGTGGCTTGGCGAGAGGCTGAGTGGGCACTGCACTACACTGCATGTGGGTTGCTGGGTCTAGCAGGCGCCTAGCTCACCGTGTGGTGGGGAGGACTTGGTCGAGAAAGTAGTCTGCGCTGATTAACTTCAGTGGTTCTGGCGTGGCTTGACGAGATGAAGAGTGGGCTGCAGTAGCCTGTGACACAGTAGCAGCAACAGAAGCAGCAAAAGCCCGGAAGGGAAAGAACCAAGAGCTTGTGCTGCTGCTCCTGCTACTGCGTGCGGACCTAACTCACCGACTTTTGAGGCGCCTCAAAAGCTTGTGCTGCTACTCCTGCTACTGCGGACCTAACTCACCGTGTGGTGGGGAGAATCTCAAGCAGAAAGTAGTCTGTGCTGATTGACTTTAACGGCTCTGGCGTGGGCTGGCGATAGAGTGAGTCGGATGCAGCAGGAGAAGAGGCAGAAGCAGCAGAAGCCCGGAAGGGAAAGAACCAAGAGCTCGTGCTGCTACTCCCGCTAGTGCTCGCCTCGCTTCCCCTGCTGCTCCTCTGTCTTGATGTTGCATCTGCTACCTGAGACCTGCTGCTGTTTTTCTCGTTTTCACCTTCCCTAGCCCCTGCCTTGCTTCTCCTGCTGCTGCTGCTGCTGCTGCTGCTGCTGCCACTAGCAGCAGATGAGCCCAGGGGATCGACTGTGTGCTGGTTCAACGGACGAATCAGGCGGTGCCACGTGGAGGTGAGGAAGCCTTGGAACGAGCCCGGCCGCGCTCCAAAGGTGGGGACCTGCTCCGAGGCGTCTGCAATGGGAAGAGGGGATGAGAGGAGGGAGAGGAGGAAAAGAGGAGGAAGAGAGGAGGAAAAGAGGAGGAAGAGAGGAGGAGCGAGGAGGATAAGGAGTGGAGGCGAGGACGGCTTGGAAGGAGCCTGGTCGAGCTCCAAAGGTGGGAAACTGCTCTGACGCGTCTGTGTGGGAGGACGGGGGAGATCAGAGAAGAGAAAGAGGAGGAGGGAGGAGTACAGAAGAGTAAGTAAGGACAGGGAAAGGCTTGGAAGGAGCCTGGCCGTGCTCCAAAGGTGGGAACCTGCTCTGATGGGTCTGAGGGGGAGGAGAGGGGGAGGGAGGGAGCGAGATAGGGAGATGAGAGGAGAGAAACGAGGAGGGAGGAACGAAGGAGCCTTGGAACGAGCCTGGCCGTGCACCAAAGGTGGGGACCTGCTCTGATGCGTCTGTGTGGGAGAGGGGATGATGAGCAGAGAGGAGATGAGAGAGCGAGGGAGGCAGAAGACTGAAAGGCTTGGAAGGAAGGAAGGAACGAGCCCGGTCGTGCCCCAAAGGTGGGGACCTTCTCTGATGAGTCTGAGGGAGAGAAAGAAGGGGGAATGTTGAGAGGAGAGGAACGCGAAGTGAGTCGTCCCCAATATACATGACCTGGCCGCCAGTGCTGATAAAGTGAATGTGTGATGGCACAAGCACATCACAGGGATTTCTCTCAAATACACACTTCTCTTCTCTCGCTCTCTCACCTATAAGACCAACGAGGCCGAGTGAGTCGTCTCCAATGTACATGACCCGGCCGCCAGTGCTGATGGCGCGATGGAAGAGACGGGTGAGGGCCTGATGTGGGAGGAGAAGGGAGGGTGGGGGGGATGGGATGGGTGGGGGAATGGGTGGGGAAAAGGGGATACCAGGCGCACCAGGGTGAGTGAGTCATTCGCTAAGTGCATGACCCGGCCACCAGTGCTGCTGGAGTGATGGAAGAGGCGGGTGAGGGCCTGGTGTGGGGGGGGTTAGGGGGAAGGGGTGGGAAGAGATGGGGAGAGGTGGGGAAGGGGGGTATCAAGCCCACCAGGCGCACGAGGCCTAATGAGTCAATCCCAATGTACATGACCTGGCCGCCAGTGCTGATTGAGTGATGGGAGAGGCGAGTCAGGGCCGGATGTGGGGGGAGAGAGGGGAAAAAAGGTTGCTGCGTAACCATAAAATCACGGTACCAAACCTTGGAAGTAAGTAGCTTTGTGTTCCGAGAGGTAAAAAAAAAGGAAGATACAACTATGAATAACTCACCACAATTCCGGGTAATTGCTGGTAAACCCCCCTCATCGCCCCCTCATAAGCCGCCATCACATCGCCGTACCGAGCCGCCGGGGCAGCCTCGGTTCGGCCCCAGCCTACCCGTGCCGCCCGCCGAACCGACGTGGTATCGTCAGGAGTGAGCTCGGGAGGAGGGTTGATGAGCAGAAGGGGCACTCCTGCATCTGATATGGGGGGGTGGGAAGGGGGGCAGGGAAGAGGAGATATCATATATTGCACGTGGTGTCTTCGGGAGTGAGCTCGGGAGGAGGGTTGACGAGCAGAAGGGGCACTCCTGCATCTGATACGGGGGGAGAAAGGGGGAGAAGGGGGGTAGAGGAGTGAGCTTTAAGAGTACAGAAATTCTTCGCATATCGTTTCTGCCACTTGGTGGCTTCGGGAGTGAGCTCCAGGGGAGGGTTGATGAGCAGGAGGGGCACTCCCGCATCTGACATGGGGGGAACAGGTGGGAAGGGAGGAATCCGAGAACTGCCAAAAGCTATCCTTGGGAGTGAGCTCTGTAGGAGGGTTGAGGTGACTTTTGAGTCGACTCAAAAGTCAAAGGCTATCCTTGGGAGTGAGCTCTGGAGGAGGGTTGAGGTGACTTTTGAGTCGACTCAAAAGTCAAAAGCTATCTTTGGGAGTGAGCTCTGGAGGAGGGTTGATGTGGAGAAGGGGCAATCCCGCATCTGATATGGGACGGGGGGGAGGGTAGGAAGAAATGAGGTGTAAGTCTCAAAAACACCCTCTCTACACGAGACATCTCGAAAACACCCTCTCTACAGGTAGGAAGAAATGAGGTGTAAGAAAATGGCGACATCTTATTGTGATTTGCCACGTGGTGGCTTCGGGAGTGAGCTCTGGAGGAGGGTTGATGAGCAGAACGGGCACTCCTGCATCTGGTATGAGAAGTGGAGAGGGGAGAAGAGATGACGTGTACGATGATGGTGACATATTGTTTCCCTTTCCCACATCCTGGCTTCGGAAGTGAGCTCGGGAGGAGGGTTGATGAGCAAGAGGGGCACTCCTGCATCTGATAGAGGTGGAGGGGAAAAGTGGAGGTAGAGAGGTAGGTCGGAAAAGGGGGAGAAGGGGGAGAAGAAATGAAGTGCAAGAAACACGGCGACACTTTGTTTTGATTTACCACTTGACGTTTGAGAATTCTCAAAGTCACATCAACAAAATCCACAAGGTCTTTTGAGGCGCCTCAAAAATCGTTTATGTAAGGTGACTTTTGAGTCGACTCAAAAGAATCCACCAGGTTTTTGAGGCGCCTCAAAAATCGTTTATGTGAGGTGACTTTTCAGTCGACTCAAAAGAATCCACAAGGTTTTTGAGGCGCCTCAAAAATCGTTTATGTGAGGTGACTTTTGAGTCGACTCAAAAGAATCCACAAGGTTTTTGAGGCGCCTCAAAAATCGTTTATGTGAGGTGGCATGGCATCGCATGGCATGGCATGGCATGGCATGGCATGGCATGGCATGGCATGGCATGGCATGGCATGGCATGGCATGGCATGGCATGGCATGGCATGGCAAGAACACTTGGACAGGCTGGAATCCACAAGGTGGCCTCCACACGAAATCTGATCTGACTGCCAGCCAGCACTCACAAGCTCAGCCTGAAATCAACGCACAACCACCCGCGCTCATCCGAGTGCCAGCACTCACAGCTTCTCAGGGCAGGCAGGCAGGCGCAGCACTCAGGCAATCATGCTCACATTGAAGTCAGCTCACACACACGCCCACATGCTTACACGCTCATCTGACTGCCAACAGCCACACGGACACTCACAGCTTCTCAGGGCAGGCAAGCGCAGCACTCAGGCAATCACGCTCACATTGAAGTCAGCTCACACACACGCCCACATGCTTACACGCTCATCTGACTGCCAACAGCCACACGGACACTCACAGCTTCTCAGGGCAGGCAAGCGCAGCACTCAGGCAATCACGCTCACATTGAAGTCAGCTCACACACACGCCCACATGCTTACACGCTCATCTGACTGCCAACAGCCACACGGACACTCACAGCTTCTCAGGGCAGGCAAGCGCAGCACTCAGGCAATCACGCTCACATTGAAGTCAGCTCACACACACGCCCACATGCTTACACGCTCATCTGACTGCCAACAGCCACACGGACACTCACAGCTTCTCAGGGCAGGCAAGCGCAGCACTCAGGCAATCACGCTCACATTGAAGTCAGCTCACACACACGCCCACATGCTTACACGCTCATCTGACTGCCAACAGCCACACGGACACTCACAGCTTCTCAGGGCAGGCAAGCGCAGCACTCAGGCAATCATGCTCACATTGAAGTCAGCTCACACACACACCCACATGCTTACACGCTCATCTGACTGCCAACAGCCACACGGACACTCACAGCTTCTCAGGGCAGGCAAGCGCAGCACTCAGGCAATCACGCTCACATTGAAGTCAGCTCACACACACGCCCACATGCTTACACGCTCATCTGACTGCCAACAGCCACACGGACACTCACAGCTTCTCAGGGCAGGCAAGCGCAGCACTCAGGCAATCACGCTCACATTGAAGTCAGCTCACACACACGCCCACATGCTTACACGCTCATCTGACTGCCAACAGCCACACGGACACTCACAGCTTCTCAGGGCAGGCAAGCGCAGCACTCAGGCAATCACGCTCACATTGAAGTCAGCTCACACACACGCCCACATGCTTACACGCTCATCTGACTGCCAACAGCCACACGGACACTCACAGCTTCTCAGGGCAGGCAAGCGCAGCACTCAGGCAATCACGCTCACATTGAAGTCAGCTCACACACACGCCCACATGCTTACACGCTCATCTGACTGCCAACAGCCACACGGACACTCACAGCTTCTCAGGGCAGGCAAGCGCAGCACTCAGGCAATCACGCTCACATTGAAGTCAGCTCACACACACGCCCACATGCTTACACGCTCATCTGACTGCCAACAGCCACACGGACACTCACAGCTTCTCAGGGCAGGCAAGCGCAGCACTCAGGCAATCACGCTCACATTGAAGTCAGCTCACACACACGCCCACATGCTTACACGCTCATCTGACTGCCAACAGCCACACGGACACTCACAGCTTCTCAGGGCAGGCAAGCGCAGCACTCAGGCAATCACGCTCACATTGAAGTCAGCTCACACACACGCCCACATGCTTACATGCTCATCTGACTGCCAACAGCCACACGGACACTCACAGCTTCTCAGGGCAGGCAAGCGCAGCACTCAGGCAATCATGCTCACATTGAAGTCAGCTCACACACACACCCACATGCTTACACGCTCATCTGACTGCCAACAGCCACACGGACACTCACAGCTTCTCAGGGCAGGCAAGCGCAGCACTCAGGCAATCACGCTCACATTGAAGTCAGCTCACACACACGCCCACATGCTTACACGCTCATCTGACTGCCAACAGCCACACGGACACTCACAGCTTCTCAGGGCAGGCAAGCGCAGCACTCAGGCAATCACGCTCACATTGAAGTCAGCTCACACACACGCCCACATGCTTACACGCTCATCTGACTGCCAACAGCCACACGGACACTCACAGCTTCTCAGGGCAGGCAAGCGCAGCACTCAGGCAATCACGCTCACATTGAAGTCAGCTCACACACACGCCCACATGCTTACACGCTCATCTGACTGCCAACAGCCACACGGACACTCACAGCTTCTCAGGGCAGGCAAGCGCAGCACTCAGGCAATCACGCTCACATTGAAGTCAGCTCACACACACGCCCACATGCTTACACGCTCATCTGACTGCCAACAGCCACACGGACACTCACAGCTTCTCAGGGCAGGCAAGCGCAGCACTCAGGCAATCACGCTCACATTGAAGTCAGCTCACACACACACCCACATGCTTACACGCTCATCTGACTGCCAACAGCCACACGGACACTCACAGCTTCTCAGGGCAGGCAAGCGCAGCACTCAGGCAATCATGCTCACATTGAAGTCAGCTCACACACACACCCACATACGCTCATCTGACTGCCAACAGCCACACGGACACTCACAGCTTCTCAGGGCAGGCAAGCGCAGCACTCAGGCAATCACGCTCACATTGAAGTCAGCTCACACACACACCCACATGCTTACACGCTCATCTGACTGCCAACAGCCACACGGACACTCACAGCTTCTCAGGGCAGGCAAGCGCAGCACTCAGGCAATCACGCTCACATTGAAGTCAGCTCACACACACACCCACATGCTTACACGCTCATCTGACTGCCAACAGCCACACGGACACTCACAGCTTCTCAGGGCAGGCAAGCGCAGCACTCAGGCAATCACGCTCACATTGAAGTCAGCTCACACACACACCCACATGCTTACACGCTCATCTGACTGCCAACAGCCACACGGACACTCACAGCTTCTCAGGGCAGGCAAGCGCAGCACTCAGGCAATCACGCTCACATTGAAGTCAGCTCACACACACGCCCACATGCTTACACGCTCATCTGACTGCCAACAGCCACACGGACACTCACAGCTTCTCAGGGCAGGCAAGCGCAGCACTCAGGCAATCATGCTCACATTGAAGTCAGCTCACACACACACCCACATGCTTACACGCTCATCTGACTGCCAACAGCCACACGGACACTCACAGCTTCTCAGGGCAGGCAAGCGCAGCACTCAGGCAATCACGCTCACATTGAAGTCAGCTCACACACACGCCCACATGCTTACACGCTCATCTGACTGCCAACAGCCACACGGACACTCACAGCTTCTCAGGGCAGGCAAGCGCAGCACTCAGGCAATCATGCTCACATTGAAGTCAGCTCACACACACACCCACATGCTTACACGCTCATCTGACTGCCAACAGCCACACGGACACTCACAGCTTCTCAGGGCAGGCAAGCGCAGCACTCAGGCAATCACGCTCACATTGAAGTCAGCTCACACACACACCCACATGCTTACACGCTCATCTGACTGCCAACAGCCACACGGACACTCACAGCTTCTCAGGGCAGGCAAGCGCAGCACTCAGGCAATCACGCTCACATTGAAGTCAGCTCACACACACACCCACATGCTTACACGCTCATCTGACTGCCAACAGCCACACGGACACTCACAGCTTCTCAGGGCAGGCAAGTGCAGCACTCAGGCAATCACGCTCACATTGAAGTCAGCTCACACACACACCCAAATGCTTACACGCTCATCTGACTGCCAACAGCCACACGGACACTCACAGCTTCTCAGGGCAGGCAAGCGCAGCACTCAGGCAATCACGCTCACATTGAAGTCAGCTCACACACACACCCACATGCTTACACGCTCATCTGACTGCCAACAGCCACACGGACACTCACAGCTTCTCAGGGCAGGCAAGCGCAGCACTCAGGCAATCACGCTCACATTGAAGTCAGCTCACACACACACCCACATGCTTACACGCTCATCTGACTGCCAACAGCCACACGGACACTCACAGCTTCTCAGGGCAGGCAAGCGCAGCACTCAGGCAATCACGCTCACATTGAAGTCAGCTCACACACACACCCACATGCTTACACGCTCATCTGACTGCCAACAGCCACACGGACACTCACAGCTTCTCAGGGCAGGCAAGCGCAGCACTCAGGCAATCACGCTCACATTGAAGTCAGCTCACACACACGCCCACATGCTTACACGCTCATCTGACTGCCAACAGCCACACGGACACTCACAGCTTCTCAGGGCAGGCAAGCGCAGCACTCAGGCAATCACGCTCACATTGAAGTCAGCTCACACACACGCCCACATGCTTACACGCTCATCTGACTGCCAACAGCCACACGGACACTCACAGCTTCTCAGGGCAGGCAAGCGCAGCACTCAGGCAATCACGCTCACATTGAAGTCAGCTCACACACACACCCACATGCTTATACGCTCATCTGACTGCCAACAGCCACACGGACACTCACAGCTTCTCAGGGCAGGCAAGCGCAGCACTCAGGCAATCACGCTCACATTGAAGTCAGCTCACACACACGCCCACATGCTTACACGCTCATCTGACTGCCAACAGCCACACGGACACTCACAGCTTCTCAGGGCAGGCAAGCGCAGCACTCAGGCAATCACGCTCACATTGAAGTCAGCTCACACACACGCCCACATGCTTACACGCTCATCTGACTGCCAACAGCCACACGGACACTCACAGCTTCTCAGGGCAGGCAAGCGCAGCACTCAGGCAATCACGCTCACATTGAAGTCAGCTCACACACACACCCACATGCTTACACGCTCATCTGACTGCCAACAGCCACACAGACACTCACAGCTTCTCAGGGCAGGCAAGCGCAGCACTCAGGCAATCACGCTCACATTGAAGTCAGCTCACACACACACCCACATGCTTACACGCTCATCTGACTGCCAACAGCCACACGGACACTCACAGCTTCTCAGGGCAGGCAAGCGCAGCACTCAGGCAATGGCTCGGCCGGAAATGGTTGAAAATGGTCTCCATAAGATGGGACTGCTGCAACAGCAGCCCCACGGCCTCTACTCACACCCACCCCCCACACGCTCAACTCGTTTGACTGCCAGCACTCACAGCTTCCAAGGGCGGGCAGGCGCAGCACTCTGGCAAAAGCCCGGCTGAAGATGGTCTCCAGAAGGACCTTGGTGGCAGTGCCGCCCTTGAGCCGCGTGGACCCTGTGACGGTCTCCTGTGGTTGTTTAGCAGCAGCAAGGATATGAGCAGAGAAGGAAGGGAAAGTTCAGTTGAAGGACCTTGGTGGCAGTGCCGCCCTTGAGCCGCGTGGACCCTGTGACGGTCTCCTGTGGTTGTTTAGCAGCAGCAAGGATATGAGCAGAGAAGGAAGGGAAAGTTCAGTTGAAGGACCTTGGTGGCACTGCCGCCCTTGAGCCGCGTGGACCCTGTGACGGTCTCCTGTGGTTGTTTAGCAGCAGCAAGGATATGAGCAGAGAAGGAAGGGAAAGTTCAGTTGAAGGACCTTGGTGGCAGTGCCGCCCTTGAGCCGCGTGGACCCTGTGACGGTCTCTTGTGTGGTAAGATGGCATATTGGCATGGTGGCATGGTGGCGTGGTGGCATGGCGGTAAGGGGGTAGGGTTGAGTCACGGCTCGGAATGATGATGGCATGGCGTCCGACAAGCTCCGGCCTTTCCCACCCCTCCCCACCCCTCCCACCCTACCTACCGGGCCAACAGCAGGAGAGAGGATGAAGTGCCTTGGGGCAGTCCCCTCTGCTTCAGCAGCTTCGATGCGAGCCCTCATTTCTGAAAGCACGGACGGGAAGGTCACGCCTGGAGCACCCTGGTTGGGAATGGAAAGGAAGGAGTGGGGAAGACAGTAAGAGGTGGTGTCTGTTTCAGCAGCATCAATGCGAGCCCTTAGCTCTTGAAGAACAGACTGGAAGGTGACACCTGCAGCACCCTGGAAGGGGATGGGGGCGTGAAACAGAGGGAGAGAGAGGCAAGCAAAGAATCTCACTCGCACTTGCACCATCTGCAACCACCCTCCATCCCCACACCACACACCCTTCATGCCCTCACCCACCCACCTTGGTGTTTGGCGCGAGAGAGGGCGGATTGAAACCCATGACTGCACCAGCACAATGCCCCCACCCACCTCCAGTACCCACCCCCACCTTTCATGCTCCCACTCACCCCCCACACACCCTTCATGCCCTCACCCACCCACCTTGGTGTTTGGCGCGAGAGAGGGCGGATTGAAACCCATGACTGCAACGGCATAGTGCGACTGTGACAGGGCGTACTGGAGGGATGAGAGGGGGACAGCGAAGGAAGCAAGTGGTAGAGGATGTGTGAAAGGACGGCGGGTTGAAGCCCGTGACAGCAACGGCGTAGTGCGACTGGGAGAGGGCGTACTGGCGGGATAGGGAGGAAAGTGGGTGGACGGCAGGATAAAAGAGGATCATGCGTGTGTGCAAGCGGTGAAGCCCATGACAGCAACGGCGTAGTGCGACTGGGACAGGGCGTACTGGTGGGATGGGAAAGGAGGAAAGAGAATGGAGCAATGGAGTGTGCATGCTGTGTGTATTGTGCATGTGTGCTTTTGTGCAAGGATTAAAGCCCATGACAGCAACAGAAGAGCATATTGCTTGACTTGCTTGACACACACTTGACTTGTGACCCACCTTGATTTCTTACACATGCATGACTTGTTTGACCCATGCTTGCCACATTTCAAAACCTATCTTGACTTGCTTGACTCACCTTGACTTGTGCTGCCACGTAGGGAGCGCTGAGGCCACAGCTGATGCCGATCTGAGGCAAGACAGAGAAGTGCGGGGGTGCAAGTGGGTGGTGAGGAGGAAGTAGAAGATGCAGTGCGGTTTGAAAGTAGACACAGCCATACAGGTGATCTGCGTGTCAATTTTCACGTAGGCTTTGAGCCGTCTTAGGAGAAAACTTTGGTGCGGAGTTGAGACGTACACGTAACAAGGCGAGACATCCTCGAAAAAATATTAATTCACTACTGCAGCACACAGGGAGCTCAACGGCTGTTGCAGGGATTTCATGAGAATTCTCAGAAAATCCCTGAGAATTCTCAAAAAAACCCTGCGATCCAAAAAATATCCCTTAAACAAAATAAGTATCCCTAAAAAAATTCCGGAAAGAAAAGAACACAAGGTGATACCACGAGAATACTCGGAGCGCATGGATGCATGGCGCATGGATGCATGACGCATGGATGCATGGCGCATGGATGCATGGCGCATGGATGCATGGCGCATGGGTGCATGGCGCATGGGTGCATGGCGCATGGATGCATGGCGCATGGGTGCATGGCGCATGGATGCACGGCGCATGGGTGCATGGCGCATGGATGCATGGCGCATGGGTGCATGGCGCATGGATGCATGGCGCATGGGTGCATGGCGCATGGATGCATGGCGCATGGGCGCATGGTGCATGGCGCATGGGTGCATGGCACATGGATGCATGGCGCATGGGTGCATGGCGCATGGATGCATGGCGCATGGGTGCATGGCGCATGGGTGCAGGGGTGATATACCTGTGCATCAGAACAAGAAGAATGACTCACATAGAGCACTCGCCCGCACGGCTTCCCCCACGGGTTGCCTCTTGCTTCCACTCGCCTCAGAGCCACCCCAAACATATAAAGTAAGCAAGCATAGTGAGAGCAAGCAAAGCGTACATAGAGCACTCGCCCGCACGGCTTCCCCCACGGGTTGCCTCTTGCTTCCACTCGCCTCAGAGCCGCCACTGCTGCCTCCTGATTGTCCTCCGCGCCCTCCTGCGCCTGGTGTAATGGTACACAAGGGGTGACAGGGAGAACAGCGTGCAAGCCGAGGCATAGGGAGGTGGGGACGGGGGGGGGGGTGTTCACTGTGCTTCACTCCTCTCCCTTCCACTCGCCTCAGAGCCGCCTCTGCTGCCTCCTGGTTGTCCTCCGCCCCTTCCTGCGCCTGGTGTGTGTGGTGTGGAGAGGTGTAGGGGGGGGTGACAGGAGGTATGGGGTGGTAGTCTCCCCGGCCCCTCCCACACACACCCACATGCACGCACGCACTTATACACACACACCATAAGAAGGGCGTGTAGTTACCTGCCTACGGTGTGTGTTTACGCGTGCGTGCATGTGGGTGTGTAACCCCCCTGCGATGAGGAGGTGGAAGCAGGGCGGCAGAGCCATATCATCGGAGCACACCATACCACACCATACCAACATACCCCCGCTTGCCCACACACACCTACCTTGAGCAGTGCAGGCAGTCCCCCTCCGACGAGGAAGTGGAAGCAGGGCGGCAGGCCGTAGAACATGCTACCTCGTCTTCCCCTCCCCCTGTCTCCCCCGCTCTCTCCCCCCCCCTCCGACCTACCTTGAGCAATGCAGGTAGACCCCCTGCGACGAGGAAGTGGAAGCAGGGCGGCAAGTCATATTAATAGATATTCAGCACTATGCCTGCATGCTCCCAAACCACCCTCCCACCCCAGCCCACCCTCCCACACACACCTACCTTCAGCAATGCAGGTAGCCCTCCTGCGATGAGGAAGTGGAAGCAGGGCGGCAGGCCGTATCTCCTGAGCACAGCGTTGAAACAGAGAACCACCTGCAGGTGATTCCTCAGTTGGTCGGTCAGGTGGCTGGATAGTTTAGCTGTTAAATAAGTGACTTTTCTTTTCTTTTCTTTTTTTATCACAGGACTTTTAGCCACTTTGAAGTGTTTATAAGAGCTATGCAATAAGTAGAAGAGACAGCGATCTCATTAAAAGAAAAGGGAAATGCAGGGAACGAAATACAATACTAGAAAAGAAAAAGCACCTGAAAGGCTATTCTGCCACTGGTGCCAGCACCTGACACCACCACAGCACTATCCTGGAAAGGGAAGGTAAAGGTGGTTGGGGTGATGTGATCAAAGGAAAGGGGAGTGTGAGGCAAAGGGAACAGGGTGGGTGCTTCTTGTGCTGGAAGGTAGTAGATGGGGTAGACAGAACAGACGAATCCACATGCGAACGGGAGAGAAAGGGGGGAGAATGGGGTGTAAGGGGAAGCGAGGGGAAGGGAAGGGTGGGGTGTAAGGGGAAGCGAGGGGGAGGGAAGGGTGGGTGAGGGGAAGCGAGGGGAGGCGAGGGGAAGGGAACAGTTACGTGCCTTGGAGAAGGAAACGATTTCAGCTGCCACTGCCGTGAGCTGGTCGACCACCCGAATGGTCTGATGCACGGATGTGGGAAGGGAAGGGGGACGGACAGGGTAGGAGAAAGGGATAGGAGAAGATGGAAAGAGGGGCAGAGCAGAGGGGAGGGAGATAGAGGCGGGGGGGTGGGGGAGGGGGGGAAGAAGAGCAGCAGCATGCGTTGGAAAAGGAAAGAGCACTTTTGAGAACCCTCAGTAAGAAGAGACGATTTCAGCTGCCACTGCTGTGAGCTGGGCTACCACTCTAATGGTCTGATGCGCGGATGTGGGGGGAGGTGGGTGGGCAGGGGAAAGGTGGATGCATCATGCACATGAGGCCCACCTCCCCCATCTGATTTACGGATGGGGGAAAGGTGGGCAGGCAAATGGACAGTTTTGAGAATTCTCAGAGGCCGCTGCTGTGAGCTGGGCTACCAGAATGCTTGACATAGACGCTGGGCAACCTTGTCTGTGAGCTGGGCTACCACTCGAATGGGCTGATGCAGTGAGGGCGGGTAGGGGGCGGGTAGGGGGCGGGTAGGGGGCGGGCAGGGGAAACGAGGGTGGACAGGAGGTAGGTTAGCCGGCAGGGGGTAGGTAGGCGGGGAGGAGGAGGGGGTGAGACAGCTCTGATATTTTCACAAAAGGCCACTGTTGCTGTTAGGGGAAGGGAGGGGAAGGGAGAGGAGCTGCTGTGTGCTGGTCTAGCACTCCAATGGGCTGATGCAGCGACGGCGGGTAGGTGGTGGGCAGGGGGAACGTGGGCGGACAGGACATAGGTTAGTCGGCTCGGCCGGCAGGAGGTGGGGAGGGGGGGGAAAGGGGGTGGGGGCAGTACTGAGATTTCCCAAAAGGCCACTGCTGCTGTTAGGGGAAGGGAGGGAGGGGAGCTGCTGTGTGCTGGTCTAGCACTCCAATGGGCTGATGCAGCGAAGGCGGGTAGGGGGTGTGCAGGGGGAGGGGAGGGGTACCGACACAGGGGGAGGGGGAGGGGTGCGGTCACAGGGGGAGAGGGAGGGGTGCGGTCAAAGGGGGTGGGGGAGGGGTGCGGTCACAGGGGATGGGGGAGGGGTGCGGTCACAGGGGGTGGGGGAGGGAGGCAGAAGAGGACGGAGGACAAAAAGTTAAACAGAGTGGACAGAGCGTGAAAGTAAATCAGAACATGTAGAGGGGGATTCTTTCACACTACATCAGACACCAAGAAATACATAAAGCAAGCTCACCCTGTGCCCCATACTCCCCCCTCTGCAGTCCCCCCTCTGCACTCCCCCTTCTGCGCTCCCCCCTCTGCACTCTCCCCGCTTCGTAAATCATTTGAGTAATTCCATTGACAGGCAGGCTTGGGACGGGAAAACAAACCAGCCCGACACTTTGCCCTTGAATTGTGCTTTCAACGAAGCTGACCGTTTCCGTGAATGTTACCAGAAATTTCGCAGGCGAGACCGTTTTCGCACGCTCACCTCTTCGTCCATCAGGCCGGGGAAACCCGCATAGCCGGCGAAGAGCTGCGCGTCGCACGCGCGGAAAATTCGCACAATTTCATCGGGCGATGCGACGTCTATCGCGGAGGACATCTCATTCGGTCGCTCTGTGAGAGGCAGCTCGTGCGACCGCACTTGCGACAGCGAATGCGACATTGTATGTGACTGCGACTGCGACTGCGACAGCGAAATGCGAATGCGACAGTCGATGCGGCAACGGTGCGACGATGGGCTGGTACGGATGACTCTATCTCGAGTTTACCGCAGCTGCACCTCGTGCCTACATAATACTTCGCTACAAAGCTTCTCAATACTGCTTCGTCATCTCGACTGTCAGCTTGCGTATCAACGCAAGCATTCGTAACACTCAACTCAATTGATACGCCGCCTGAAAGGCTGTGCAGTCTACGAAGTGTGCTGTTATGCTCCCATCCCATGACTCTTTTCCACCCACTCACCCACTCTTCCATTTCGAACCCCTTTCGTTTGGACCGAGGCGTGGTACAAATTCAAAACAGCATCGAAAACCATGAAAAAATCTCGTTGTTCCGGCTCCAGACGAATCTTGACGGTCTTTCGAAAACTGCTGGCGAACATTATGCGACTTTAACGAAGAAAGATTTCCATTAAGGCAACCATCGCCGTCACAACCTCTCGAATAAGAGAAACACGCCTTGACTTTCTTTCTGTTTGGTGTTCCGTTCCTCAGATACTTCAGTGGAACGTAGGAGAGCAGAGCAGAACTCAGGAGACAAATAGATACGGTTCACTCCGTCAGATCAAAGAGCTTGTCATGATAAAGGTGTAGATAATTGAGATAAGGACAAAAGATTATGATTGCACAATAGAATAAGACAAGAGTGAACAGTGGAATTGTAGTAAATGAGGATGAGCTTGATAGAAGAGAAGATGATACTTAGAACTTGTGACTATAAAGAGAAACTTGTGTAAGGTGGAATGCTTGATGAGATAAGAACTCAAAAAAGAGAAAGAGAGTATGAGCTTGTTGAGGGAATAAGAGAGGTGATAAGCACTTACTTAAGTGAATTTTACTAGGGATAGTTGTAGAGGTGACTTGTAGGAATGGCTTGGTCTTGAGAGCTTTACTTGAAGAAGAACATCAAGCTTGGTGTTGGGTGATGATCCTTCCTCAAGCTTGTAGGAAGTAATGAACCTTATACTCAAGTAGAGTATGAGGTGACTACTCTTCACTTGATGCTTAACTTTGTAGACTAATGAGAGACACTTTGTGAGCATAAACTTATATTGAAAGAGGTATAGTACAAGCCTTATAGATCCATGAGGGATACATAGGCATGCATAGAGAGAGTAACCATCAATGGTAGCCTTGGAAGAGAGTTGCATGAGAGTATCAACTTTTGGAGACATAGAACTTGGTTGCTAGTGAGGAGCCTTTGTAGTACAAGAGGAGCTTGAAGGAGAAGCTTGGAATTGAGCTTGGTGAAGAAGCTTGGAATGCATTGTTGTCATTGAAGAACCTTCTTGAGAAGTTGTAGAGATGCTTGATGTAGATGAATAGTATTGGAGCATGTGATGGTGGTTGAGCACTTGATGAGTTGGAGATGTAAGCCTTGTTGAGTTGGAAGAGAGCTTAGTGAGTTGGATAAGGATGAGTGGAGGAGATGATGAGCTTTGTTGCCTTGTAATAGGAGGTGATGGGATAATCATGAAGTCCTTAGGGATGAGGTGGCAACTTTGGTGACTTGGGAAAGGAAGGAAGGGAGGAATAAATGAGAGGCATGTGGAGGTTGATGAGTAGGAAGTGGAAGCATGTGCTTGAAGGCACATGGGAGGAGGATAATTGGAGGAGGTAGATGACTTGGGTAAACTTTGATGAGTTGGAAAGGAAAGCACATGGAAAATCATGAGGAGTCATGTGCCTTATGGTGGGACTTGAGGATGAGTATGGGAAGTTGGTTTGAATATTGGTTGAGTTGGACTAGGAAAGGCTATGGTGGTTGGGAGTAGTTAAAGAGGTGGTTGATAGGCTTGAGTTGGAGAGGATGCGTTGGAAAAAGGAGTTTGTAACTTGAGTGGTTGGAATAGGCTTTGGAGGAGTTGAGTGGTTTGGATGGGTTCTTAGGAAAATGTGTCGAGGGTGTTTTGAGGGGAAGGGGTTGGAGTGGCACAGTAGCGTGGCACGTGAAGAGCGTGCCATTCACAACAAAAGGACCAGGCAAAGCTAAACTCTCGCGAAGGCTTCTAGCTTGCTGGACCTTGCTAATATTGTGAAATATCGTAATTTCCACAGACATAGGTTCACCGTAACCTGATCCACAATCTTAGTTCAGGTACAGCCATGTCTTCACACATTAACAACCTGTCAGATGACCTCCTTGTTAAGATCTTCTGGCATTCTCATAACCATGTCCCTGCTCGCCGTCAATCTGAAAACCAGAATCATCCGCTGGGCTTGCCACGACCGATGTACCCCTCAAAAAACCCGAGTTTTTCAATGGCTTCTGTGATACCACGACCCAGGTACACCTCCGAAAACCCGTACGGCGAAGATCTTAACACCCTCGATGGCTCTTTCAGATCGTCCTCCCTGCAGCGAAACGGAGATTTGACTATTTCTAGTACTACTCCATTATCAGCTCCTACCGCGCTCACAGATCCGGCGTATAACCTTCTCATTGCTTCCGTTTGCACGCGCTGGCGTCGCCTGGCTGGCCAGCAGGTCTCCATGCTCGTCGTGAGAAAGAACATCGCCGTTTCGCTTGAAGATCTCACTGCTGTCATCAAGTGCTTTTCAAGCATCTCCCATCTGCATCTCAGCGACAACAGCGTAGAGACTATCAACGATGCATTTTTCGATTTCCTCACTTCGACATGCCCTAATCTGGTGTCGCTGCACGTGGGGAGGGATATTACGTCGAAGTGGGACTGTTTTCGGCCGAAAGAGCATCCGGTTACCGAAATCGGTTTGGATCGGTTCTTTCGCCGCTGCACCCAACTGCAGCACCTATCGCTCTACTTTTTGCATTACTACGGGAAGTTGCCGGATTCTCTCTCGCTCCTCACCAACCTTCACACTCTCGCTCTCACCGATAGCTCGCCTCTCCATTCTTCAAGAATCACAAACCTGACTTCTCTCACCACCCTCTCCGTCGGAATTCCGGATCAGGAAGACGTGAATCTGTCGAGCCTCGGGCCACTCCCAGCCATCACGACCCTCGTTTTATTCGACAATACATGTCTAGATCTAAAAGACCGCGGCGCCTCCTACCCTTTTTCATTCGCCCAAACACCTTCGCTGAAAGCCCTAGAGTTCGAGAGGTGGAGTCCGGATTTCGAGTTAATGTTTCCATCAAGAAACACATTCAGTCGTCTCGAGCGGTTACTTATCAAAGGTTGCGACACCCTCGAGCGGCTTCCTGACGACATTGGCGAACGATTGCCACGCCTTCGCGAGCTGAGCTTGTCTGGATGCAAAAACTTTCCGAGCTGCCCGAACAGTTCACTTCCCTAACCTGCCTGCAGCAACTCATGCTGAACCGCCTCCCAATCTCCAGTCTCCCAGATTCGTTCTACCAGCTGACGTCGCTCGAAACCCTCTGCCTGTCTCATTGCAACTCGATATCCGAGCTGCCTGCGAGATTCGGTTTCCTCACCGCACTCAACTCTTTAAGTATCCTCAACTCGCCGTACCTGACGCTCCCAGACGACATAGGCTCACTCACAAATCTTCACACCTTCCGGTTAACTGAAAACTTCTCCCAGCAGCTCCTTCCATCCTCGTTCACGCAGCTATCTTCGCTCACAAGACTCCATCTCACCAAGTGTATGGTACTAGCTGACCTTCCAGAGGACTTGCGAAAGCTGACTAACCTGCGCGTACTGACCATCCAGTCCTGTCCTAGTTTACAGAAGCTTCCTCAGTCTATTACTGACCTTATCATCCTAGAGGTTCTGAAAGTTGTAGACTGCGACATCCTCGCTTCAATTCCCACCAGCTTGAGCAACTTTAGAAGGCTGAGGATTCTAGCACTAGCCAAGCTCCCCCAGCTAGCACAGGTATCGGGATCCCTGCCCTGTTCCCTCGAGCTTCTTTCGACAGGGAGGTTCAAGCGGCCCACCCCTCTGCTGGAAATTTCAGAACTGCCGAAGCTGAGAGGAATGAGCTTAACCTGTGCAGGGCCTATGGTTGGACTGCCTACTGGCTTGACTCTGCCTACTCTGGATCACTTACAGCTGGTCCTGGTTGGAGATGCAAAGGCAATCCCTTTGCCTCTGGAACTTCTTTCTGACCTCCGCAGCTTGACAATCTGTAGCGGCGCTCGCATGAAGAACCTTCCGGAAGAGTTTGGTTTGGCCTTGCAGAAGCTGAGGCGGCTGGGGATTCGCCGGGTTGTGGAGTTAACGGAATTGACAGAGAGTTTCACAGAGCTTCGGTCCCTGATATTTGTTGAGATCCATGCTCCTAAGCTTTCCTCTCTTCCGGAGGGCATCGGGGCGTTATCCCGACTTCGCCAGCTGAATTTGGCCAACTGATCTTCGCTTACCCAGCTTCCTTCTTCCATCACCCAGCTTTCCTGCCTTCATGAGCTGAATCTCAGCTGCACTGCCATTGGCTCCCTGCCTTGCCACTTTGGACAGCTGAGCCGGCTTAAAGAAACTAAACCTGGATGGATGCGAGAGATTGACTGTGCTACCTGAGGATTTCACCCAGCTCAGGATGCTTCACAAGTTGACTTGTAAAGGGTGTGGCGAAATTGCATCTGAAGGTGTGAGGGATATCTATGGGTTGGAGATTCATAGTGATTTTGATCAGGATCCTTTCGAGGGTCTACCGTAGTTTTTTTCTGTCTGAAAATCAAGCCTGTTTTTATTTTTGTTTTGTGATGGTCTGTTCTGACGAAGCACTAGTCTAGGATGGTCTAGGTTTCACTTACGGTAAAAAAACGGTAACTGGGTAGTGCAACTTCACTGTTGATGTTAGGAAGTCCTTATGCTAACACGGTAAATTTAGTCATAAGGATTGTTGAGCTGAATGCTCTTTGGGTACATTAGGGCCTCACACGATATCACAAAAACTTGGGCCGACTGGGTCACCCCTCAAAACCACCCTGAATTTCAGGAAGCATGATAATTTACACCAAGGCTCTGAGTATCTGTGCAGGTACCATATGAGACTCAAATTCACTAAATCAAGGTGCTTTTGCATTGCAGTACACTTGTACCAGCACATGACCCGAGACAAGTGATGACTAAATAAACAAATGTATCACACTTATGCATATCCTCCACGCAAACTCTAATGGTATGGTAAGAATGCAATCTGGAATACGTTACGCTGCTAAACGGCACCACAGTACATCTCTAAGCTTTCGATTTCACCTTGGGAAGGAACACATGCACTCGGCTCAACACGTCCCGGAACGATACAGGGAAGGAATGAAGGAAAAGGTGTGGACTCCCTTCCACACTGTACACTCTGAACGTGCTGCCGCTGCCACCACCGTTGCCACCATCGCTGCCTCTGCTGCTGCCGCTGCTTCTGCTGTTTACGCTCTCACTGCTACTGCTGCTATTTGAGCTGCTGCTGCTGCCGTTCGAGTTGCCGCTGCTACTAGTGCTGCTTGCACCATTCGTCTGCCGCACACAGCTGGCACAGGTGCTGCTGCTGCTGTTTCTCAATCCGTTCCCCCGAGAGGTGTCACCAGCAAGGGTTGCTGCTCCTCCACTGCCGTCACGGATACTGCTTCTGCTGTTGCTGGTACCGCCACAAGCATCAGGAAGAGTAGTAGGCGCAGCAGCAGCAGCAGCAGCAGCAGCAGCCGCATGGATACCACCAATTCCCACAGCACTCACACAAGCACCATCAGTGACCCTGCAACAGGCACCCCCACATGCCCCACCCTTCCCTCTCTGACCATCATCACCTTCCCATGCACACTCAGCCTGCTCCTTCCCTTCCAGCCCCTCACTCTCTCTTAACCCACACCCCTGAACGGCTCTTGAATGTTCTTGAGCAGCCCCCTCCTCTGCCTTATGGTTTCGCCTCCTTGCTTTGTCCTCTCCTCCCGCTCCTGTCCTCCCCTCCACCGCCCCCCTTCCTTCCCTTACCCTTCCACCTACTCTCCTTCCTGCTCCAACTCCTCCCTTTCCTCCTCCCACAAACTCCAGCCACACCCCACCTGGAACCTGATCAGGCCGATACAGCCTCACCAGCAGCAGATACACCGGGAAGGACAGCAGGAGCGAGGCAGCGGCTTGCAGGGCGGAACGGACAGCCGAGATCGCAAGACAGAGCGAGGCGAAGAGGATGTGGAAGATGGCGGTGGTGGGGAGGAGGAGGGTGAGGATGGTGAAGAGCAGCGAGCCGAGGGTGAGTTGCCCGAGGGTGCACTCCACTGAGTCAATGCGCTTGTGTAGAGGGTTCCACTTGAGGCCACTGGGAGGGGAGGGGGAGATGGGAGAGGGGGATAAATGGGGGGGAGGATAGGGAGGGAAAAAAAAAAACAAAAAACTATGAGACTTGAAAGCAAAGATTCGCAACTACCGGTACTTTGAAAAATACGTCTGAGAACCAGTTCGCTCCACGTGACATGCAACAGGCCTAACGGACTCACCAACTCTGTAATTAAAGACTCACTTGAAGAGGCGCCAGAGGGCAATGACAGCGTTGAGCTGCATGCGATACATGGGCGCCAAGCACCACAAGCCAAAGCCCAACCAAGTCCCACGCTCCTCCCCCATTCCCATATATATTGCCAGGAAATTGAAGACTCACTTGAAGAGGCGCCAGAGGGCAATGACAGCATTCAGCTGCATGCGATACATGGGCGCCAGGCACCAATGAACGAGCGCCAGCTGGAGGTTCGACAGCAGCACCAGGTCAGCTATAACCCCCACTGCGGCCGACATTCCCATAAACAGCCCTGCCGAACCAACCACCAGCACTGCCAGGTAGGGAAGTACCGAGCCATACGCGCCGCCGAAGCTAGCCCAAGCCTGCAGCGCCTGCCAGGATAGGGCGCCGTACGCAGCTGTGAGCTCATCATTGAGTTTGAGTCCAATAGGCTGGGAGATTAGTAGCACTATGCTGGTCCGGAGCACGTGATTGGTCAGGAAAAGGAAGAGGGAGGAGACAGCTGAAGCCACGGATCGGAAGAAGAAGAGGAGGAGGAGGGAGAAGAGGAGCCCAAGGGTATGGTCCAGAAGGAGAGAGGTCAGAGGGGATGCAATGCGGTGCTGCGCAATATGGAGGTCCATGGAAGAATGCAGGGGAAGCTTGGGTTTCCTGGATGCATTTCGGGCAAATTTGGGAATTTCAGAAGGAAAGTGAGTCGCTTTTGCAGGGTCTGTGTGAAAGCAGGGATTCTGATTGAGAGGCGTTTCAGGAGGGTCTGACGCTGAGGATAGGGATGCTTTCAAGGAGGCGCCTTTAAAAGGCTGAGTGGACGGATCTGGGGGATCACTACAAGTGACTGTGGCAGCAGTGGCAACAGCAAGCCCTGCTGTTTTGTCAACTTCTGCTGCTTTTCCTGTTGCTGCTGCTGCTGCTGCTGCTGCCACGTGTCCATCTGACACCATCACACCCCCTTTAACGAACACGCCCTCGTTTGAAAACAAGGACGCTGATTGGAGGGCTGCACGGAGCGACGCGATCAGCCGCTGCCGGCGTTTCATGCACTGCCACGTGGCAGAGTTGCTCTTCAGAGCAGCAGTCGCCGCCCGGCCAGTAGAAGTAACCAGCGATATGGTAACCACCCCAGCTTCCTGTAACAGCAGCAGCAGCGCCACAGGCGCAGCAGCAACTTGAGCCGCTACAACCAAACTCAGCCGCCCAACATGCCCCACAGAATCCAACGCAGCAGGATCCTCGTCCTCTTCTACAATCTCCCCCTCTAAAATCACCTCCTGCTTCGTATCCCCACCCTTGACCCCCAAAACCGTCCCCCATAATGCATCCCTCTCTTTAACAGGCTCAGCAGTCGCTACAGCTGCCTCTGCTCCTCCCAAATCTTCAACTGCCTTGGCCTGCTTCGCACTCTCCCGCACAGGCGGCCCCAGAAGCTGCTGGTGCAGTGAATCTGGACCAGTTGCAGCCTGCCCCAGTTCCGCCTTCCCCTGGCCCAACCCTCCCTGATTCAGCTCCTCCTGTGAAACCCCTGGTTCGCCCAGTGTCCTTTTTGAGATGCCTTGCATGCTCTCCACTACAAAAGTCCCTGTTGGTTTAACGTCAGAAGCTGATTTGATGTCGAAAGCCGAATTGCCTAGGATAAGGCTGGGAGGCTCCGTTGCTTCTAAAAGGTCTGTGCTTGCACCAGGGTCAGCTTCCTTGCTGGGCTTGGGTGTTGCCTTCCCAAGGAAGAACATGCGCTGGAGGGTGAATGGGAGGAGGGAGAGGGAAAGGGAAAGAGTCAAGAAGAAGGGAGAGGGAGACGGAGTGGCAACACAAGGAACAAAGTTTTAACCCAATAACCATAACTGCACTCTCACTCACCGCAAGAGCAGTGGAAATTACAGCAGGCGAGCCCCTAATAGCGCCTGGAATCGACCCCCCAGCAGCAGCCGCCGCACTTGCAGCTGTAGCAGCCGTCGCTGCCGTTGCAGCAGCTGCTGCTGACGCAGCAGTCGCCGCCGTTGCAGCTGTAGCAGCTGCCGTTGCGGCCGTAGCGGCAGCAGCGGCTGTAGCCGCCGTTGCTGCTGTGGCGGCCGTGGCGGCTGTAGCAGCAGCCGCTGCGCTGGCAGCAGTGGCTGCAGTGGCAGCCGTTGCAGCTGTAGCAGCAGCAGCGGCATTCGCGGCTGTAGCGGCTGTAGCAGCCGCAGCATTCGCGGCTGTAGCGGCTGTAGCAGCGGCAGCAGAGGCCGTGGCTGTAGCGCCGCGCCTACAGCTATCTAGAGTGCGAGAGGTTGTAGTGCTGATAGTGCTGGTGGCAGTGGTGATAGACGTTCCTATAGAGGTGGTGGCAGATCCGAGGGTGTTTGAAGCGGTTGCAAGGGATGTAGAGGCAGTGGCGAGGGCATGAGCCATGTTGAGCTTGTGGAAGGGAACGCTCTGTAGGAGGGGGAGGGGGCAGGGGGGAGCAAACAACAGAATCCAGGCTTGTGAGTTAACTCAGACAGGGGTTGGCCCCACAGGCTTCATCACTCTGCAACAACCCCATGCTAGCAGCTCCAAGGCTTGGCTTTGACTCGAAGGCATGCCCCCAACCCACGTATCCGCGCAGCTTGGCTCTCTGTGCGGCCAGGACGACCATGTGACCCTCATGCCTCACCACACAGCCAACCTACAGACTGACGTCTCACCGATCTGAACCCCTGCAACCACCTGATGGCAGCCCCAGCACTCACGTATCCGCGCGACTTGGCTCTCTGCGTCCTGGGGGGTTCAATGTGCCCCGAGGTGGCCCAGAACGACCGTAGCCACACGCCCACCCGCCCCGCCTCGCCTGGCGACCCCCTCGGCGACGTGGTAACCGCACCATTCGCATCATTCGCCGCGTTCGCTGCCTTTTTTTCCGAACCCGTGCTACCCGGACCTCCAAGGCCTTCCTCGTCTAGCCCCTCCGACCCATCTGAACCGTCCTCTACTCCTCCGCGCACCACGCTCATCCACCTGCGGCAATCCGCCACGTAGAAATGGCCGGGGAAGGTCGGCTGGTCGTAGAAAACGACCTGAAGAGAAAAGGGGTGTGGAATAAAATGGAGGAAAGGGAGCGAGAACGGAACGTGTGGTTCAATGCTATGCTTAACACCGAAAAGGGGTGCCTGAAAAGTATCTTGCAGCGCTTCAAAGCTCGTCCAGCTCCAGCACTCCGCCACGTAGAAATAGCCAGGGAAGGTAGGCTGGTCGCAAAAGACGACCTGCAGAGAGGGGTGTGGAATGGAGGGAACGAGAACGGGACGAGTGGTTCAATGATTGTCAACGCTAAGGGGTGTAAACGGTTTAAAGACTCTAGGAAATCGTTTTTGCGGCGCTTCAAAGCTCGTCCGCCTGCGACAATCCGCCGCGTTAAAATGGCCGGAGAAGGTTAGTGACTCCACGTAGAGACGACGACACACGCACCCGAGCGGACACTGCGCGCACCTAAGTGAGACACTGCGCGCTCCTGAGCGGACATCGCGCGCACCTAAGTCAGACAACGTGCGCTCCTGAACGGAAATTGCGCGCACGTGAGCGGAAACTGCGCGCACCTGGACTGACTCTGCGCGCACCTGAGCGGAAACCGGATGGCCAGCAGATGCAATGTCGGCCGGCTCCCCTGCGGCCGCTTCTGGTACCGGTTTCGATCCCCGATCCGACAGACCGGCTTCACTGGCTTCACTAACCGACTCTGCAGCTGCGCCGGCGGGTTTCTTGGAAGGAACGCCTGGAATCTCGCTGCCGCTGCACACAGAAAGAGGAGAAAGCATACAGCGTTAGCGGTATGAGTTTTAGGAGAGACATCCTGATGGTTGGCCTTGAAGCGGAGAGGTGAACAAGATGAGAGGGCTGCATACCCCGGGAAAAAAGAGAACAATGATAAAGAGAGGAGGTTCTAAGAAAGCTCACAATGCCAGGTTGAAGCACAGTTAAGGTTCTCCGACTAACCTTGTACCGCCGGGTTGCTTCAAATCTTCGTCGTCCGAGCTGTTGCTGGACCCATCAACGTTCATACGCATTCCTATCAGCTCCACGTTTCGCCACCAGTCTAGTATCGCAGCTCCTTTACCGCGTACAGCCGGAGCTGATCCCAATTCTTGAGATTCCCCGGGACCAGACGAGCCTGTCGGCGACGTTGGCGACGCTGGCGATTGTCGCTGCTGCTGCCATCTTCGTCGCCACAACAATGTAAACGGCACCTTAGACGAAAAACCCGATCTGTTACCCTGGCTATCTTGACTCTCGTTTTTGTCACCACTCAACGACTCGAAGTCCTCCGAACGATCGGAATCGGCAGAGAAACTCCAGGATGATCGAGGCGACGAGCAGCTTGACGCTTTAGGAGAGCTTGCTCCGGAGGAAAACCGGCTGAAGAAAGATGAGAAGGAGAGATTGGAATGTTCTGGAAGAACGGAGCATTCGGCGACGACGCAGGCTCGGTCAGGCTCCTCGAACGAATTAGCCTGATAGCAATCAGTAGGAGAAAGATCGTGTTTCTGACAGTTTTCATGGCCGTTTGTAGGCAAAGCAGCGTTTGAAGGAGCGCTAGAGCTGTCATTTGGAATAGTTATAGAAGCCCTGCAGCTATCTTGGGAAGTGGGGAATGACTCCTTGTGACCGTTGCACGGGTCGATATCTTTTTTAGCTTCGTCGGTGCGACCCGAGCATGGGGGAGTCGCAGCGGCGACGATGACATTGACTTCGCGAGTTTCGCCAACGTCGGCTGATTCAATCCATCCTAGTAATCGCTGACGCTCGCCTTCCAATGGCACCTGGACTGGCCACCAGACCGTAACCCTAACGCGCTCCGTGCTCTTTTTCTTATCACTCTTAAAATGATTATCGGTCTTAACCTGACCTGGCAGTACCTGCTCAGCCATTCCGAACGAACACGCCACGTCAGCAGCAGAGCCACGCGAAGAAAACACCACACTAATGAAAGAATAAGAGTTTAGGAAAAGGCAAAGAATTTAGGAATAAGAAGTCTCGGCCTAAGAGGGTGCTTTAGTTACAATCTGGTTCATAATGCCCAACATGTCCCTTCAGGGGTCTGCTGCATGTTGAAAAACATCCATCCCATTCCACTCCTCCCAAGCATACTGAAACGTCCCAGCAACCTGGAGAGGAACAGTGCACAAACAGAAGCAGGAGCATGTAGAAAGCTGACCAGAAACAGAACAGGAGCGCATGGTTGCTCACCAGGAGGGTGATGGAGAGAAGGGAGGGGCAGGCAGCCATTCCTGATAATACACGAGGGTATGGAGCGGTTATGAAGTTTTCTTGCGAGTTGCTAGAGGGTTTCGTCGTGAAAGGCCTGAAATCCCGAGAACACTGGCGCTATAACGAGACTCGATATAGGCACAATGATTCCCATTGTTTCGCGGCTGTCGTGGTTGGAGGGGTGATGTGCTGGTTTGGAGATGCTTTTGACGGAAGACGGATTCCGTCGCCGATGCCGTAAAAAAAATGTAACTCACTCGCAAGATGTCGCTGCCGCGAGATATTCTGTCGCTTTTGCAACTACGAGATCGTTACTCTGTGGGCTTTTGTCGCCAACGCGGGACAAGCCTGACAATCAGACTCTGGCTTGGCGGGATTCAACGTTGCCGCCAGGTTTCACGATTCTCGCACGTTCAGATGGCGGGGAGGCAGCAAAGCACACACGTCATCCTGGTGGATGACTCACTTCCTAGCAAGCTCGTCTCGTCACACACCCTTTTGACGGCCATCAAACTTGGGCCCAGTTCGGCAGGCATAAGGACGCGTGAAGTGCTCGATCGGGGGGAGATCGATCCTGTCACCGCAATAAAACCTTGCGTTTTGCATACGGAAAGTACACAACCGTTTACAACCGCGTCAAAGAATGATCCTGAGGCGATCGATTCTCTACTTTTACCGCGTCCTAAAGGCCCTGCTCTGTTGGCGCACAGGCCATTCGCAGCTGCTGCACAGGTAATGCGGACAGCGTTTTCCTCGAAAGGAAGAGAGGGCCTGCAGCCTCGTAGAAGGGTTTACTAATCTACAAAATTAAGAACTTTTTTCTCTCGTGTGCCCAAAAAAATGTTGTTACACACTGCCCTGGAACTCTTCCAAAGAAAAAAATTCTCGAACTGATGCACTGGATGTGGCAGTCTTACTGGTTAGCAGTTGGATTGTTTTTGGAGTGAGTATTCCACAAAAAAAAACCCCAACACGGGCGTTTCAATTTGCCAGTTATTTGTTGTGCGCCTCTTCATTCCCCCCTCGACGAGCACATAAGGCTCGCACAGGCCATGCGGGAAAATTGCCTTTGAAACCAAGCTCGTGGAATTTTCTCAGCGCACAGAGAGTCATGCGTTCTTGCGCACACATGAATAATACGCGCACAACTCCCGCACTAGATGTTCGGGAGACAATAACGAATTGGGAGGCTCGACATGGGTTTTAAGCCTTATTATGCGCATTCCGAAAAAGTTCAAAGCCAGGGCTGAGCACCCCTTATGCGCCAACAGAACAGGGCTAAAAAATTCGGCCGCGGGGTGTCAGAATGTTATCTTATGCTCTAGCCTGTAGTGGGGTGCTCTATAGCGAGTACAACCCTTCTAGGGTTTCCTATTTGTATCCCCATTCTATCAGATTTATATGACATATCTACTGTAGGCTATAGTGGGGTAACACATATGGGGTACAACTTTCTAGGGTTTGTACTTGTACCCAACTTTCCCTTAGTCATTTCATTCTCGTTTCAAATTTCTCATGGAATCAGAGCAGGTTCCCTAGTGGGAACTGTACCTAGGACCCACCAAGTCGATATTTTTTTTCCTGCCCGGAGCGCACTCAGCCCGAGTCGCGCTCCTCTCTCTCACCTCGTCGAGCCGCCCTAGCGACTGCGTCGAGCCGCCCTAGCGGCCCTGTCGTCCTAGCGGCCCCATCGCCCTTCGCTGCGGCCCCGCCGCCCTTCCCTCCGGCCCCGCCGCCCTTCACTGCGGCCCCGCCGCCCTTCGCTGCGGCCCCGCCACCCTTCACTGCGGCTCCGCCGCCCTTCGCTGCGGCCCCGCCGCCCTTCGCTGCGACCCCCGCCGCCCTACTCTGCGGCCCCGCCGCCCTTCACTGCGGCCCCGCCACCCTTCGCTGCGGCCCCGCCGCCCTTCACTGCGGCCCCGCCGCCCTTCGCTGCGGCCCCGCCGCCCTACTCTGCGGCCCCGCCGCCCTTCTCTGCGGCCCCGCCGCCCTTCGCTGCGGCCCCGCCGCCTCTCTCGCTGCGGCCCCGCCGCCTACCTTGCGGCCCCGCCGCCCTTCGCTGCAGCCCCACCGCCCCTCTCACAGCGGCCCCGCCGCCCTTCGCTACGGCCCCGCCGCCCCTCTCGCTGCGGCCCCGCCGCCTACCTTGCGGCCCCGCCGCCCTTCACTGCGGCCCCACCGCCCCTCTCGCTGCGGCCCCGCCGCCCTACCAGCGGCCGTGCCGCCCTACCAGCGGCCCTGCCGCCCTACGCCACCGAGTCGCCCGCACCGCCAAGCAGCCCGAGCCGCCCGTTCTGCCCGAGCCGCCCGTTCCGCCCGAGCCGCCCGAGCCGCCCGAGCCGCCCGAGCCGCCTGAGCTGCTGAGGAGCCGAGCCGCTGGTGCCGCAGAGCCGCAGTTGCTACTGAGCCGTCCGAGTCGCCCGAGCCGCCGTGTTGCCGAGCTGCTGTGCTGCTGAGCTGCTAGAACCGCCCTGTCTGGTGAGAGCAGCGCTTCTGTCACTGCACTGCCCCTGTCCTACAGTTAGTGCTGCTAGTCTACTGCTGTAATGGCTACCCCCAGTGTTCTCGCTTTTGACGCTGAGGGTCGGGCCATTGACTTTGAGGTCTGGGTAGATGACCTGAAGCTTTTCCTTCAGTGCGATAGGGCAGACGGTCTCTCCCTCTTTGACCTCACCTCTGGCGCCTCCCCTGCCCCTGCTGCTCACGCTGACGCCACTGTTCGTTCCCAGTGGGCCACCCGCGACGCTGCTGCACGTCTTGCTGTGCGTCGCCACCTGCCTACCACTGAGCGTGCGCACTTTAGTCAGTACAAGAGTGCTCAGACCTTGTACGACGCTGTAGTTGCGCGCTACTCCTCCCCTGCCACGGCTGCACTGAGCCGTCCCTGGCACGCACAGGATGTCCCTGCGTCCGTCCACTGCTCCTTTGCGTGCCCCTTTGCCTTGTCCTCCTGCGTCCTCTCTTCCTGCTTTTGCCGACCCGGAGTCGGACTCTCTTCGTGCTGCCAGTCCTACTGTCACGCGTCTCCTGGCTACTGTCGTCACTGACCCTTCCTTCGAGTCCACTACTGTGTCTGCCTTAGTTGTTGAGCTCGTCGACTTTGCTGCTCGCTGTCGCCTAGACTACGCTGCTAGTCTTGTAACTGAGTCTGAGTCTGTCTGTCCTCCGTCCGTCGGGGGTGAGTGTGCCCTTGGCACGGACGTCCTTGAGGACAGGCAGGAGGAGTTCCAGTGCTTGGCAGCTGCTTCACCTCATCTCGTGTCCGTACTGCTTACCCCTGAGGGAGACCCAGATGCACTTGACATCCCGACTCCGCGCTCTTACGCAGAGGCGATAGAGGGTCCCTACTCCTCTCAGTGGCAGGCAGCTATGGATGCAGAGATGGCTTCCTGGAAGTCCACAGGCACCTACGTTGACGCTGTCCCCCCTCCTGGGGCGAACATCGTCAGTGGCATGTGGATTTTCAGGGTGAAGCGGCCGCCGGGTTCTCCGCCTGTCTTCAAGGCGCGTTACGTGGCTCGTGGCTTCAGTCAGCGGCAGGGAGTTGACT